CCAATCCTCATCAGAGCCCTCTGCTCTGGAAGCTGAGGGGAGGGCGAGAGCAGGGCACAGCCAGGCTGGTATGTGGGATTTGATTCTGTGTCAGGCTGAGGGTAATCCCTGTCTGCCTCCCACCGTGGTGCTGTAAAATGGGGCCAGGACCCCATCCTCGTCAGAGCCCTCTGCTCTGGAAGTGTTCGGGTGTCCTGCCCCTGCGTACGTGACCTGTATGAAGCCAGAGCCCGAGGAGCGTGGGGAGCTGAAGGCCCGTGAATTGGTGATAAGGGACTTTGTTTGTCCTCCCACCCTGCACTACGGCCCAGCACGCTCTGAAGCCACTCAGCGAGCTATCTGGGGTACTGTCTTTCCTAAGCAGAGATTGATAATGGCCTGGTGGTAAAAGTGGCCATGAGCAAATGCCAGCAAGGGGGACAAGCCCCCAGCATTGGTGTTGCATCCACCAACTGGGACCACAGTCATGGGGGACAGGGACCAGTGTTCCCCCCCAAGGTCTGTGGGGTGGTGAGTGCAGAGGGTCCAGGCACCCCACCAGCAGCAGTGGTGGGAAAATGGCTGTTTAGGGGTCAAAGGAGAAGTGGGGCTTCTCAAGCTGGGGGAGCAGGTCATGTCTCGGGGAGCAGTGGGGTGGAGGAGATGTGTGGCAAGCTGGGAACAAGCCCAGGCTTGTGTCTATAGCATGCAGGGCCATGGCTCTGCTTTTTGGGACAAAAAATGAACAATTCCACCAATCCCAACTTAAAAATACACGCCGATGTTTGCGTGCTCGCAGCAGCCAAATGCACACGTGTGCTCAGATGGTGCTTGGGAAATTTGGATGGTGCTTGGGATCCTGATTTAACAATATCTAGATCATGTTTTTTTTTTCTCCCCACAACCACCAAGTTGTTGGTATGAATATTCGCTGGGTGAGGCTGAAAATAGATGAGGAGCTGCTGGCTCTGGGGTCAAAACAGGGGGAAAATAAACGAAAAAAAGGTGAAGGACCACAGGGAAGGCGCCTGGCTAAAAATAAGCTTGAATTCTGAAGCCAAGCATAAATATTTTTCTTTCTTTGCCATAACATCGCCTGGTGGGCAGGGGATTGAGCAGCCTCTGGTGTAAGGGTGAGTTTTAAAGTGAAACATCATTTTTGAGCTCTGAAATGAAATAATCCCAACACAGTGCTATGCGCTCGTGCGTTGCGGGGCTCACAGCTCGTTTTCCTGCCCGAAAGCCTGGCTCTCTTGCAGCAGAGCCTCTAGAAACAATTTGGGGCTAGAAAACAAAGGTTTAAGTACGGTATTAGTGATCCCTGAGCTTCCCCTCCCTGGATGCTGTCACTGGTGTAAACCCAGAGTGATTTTGGTGGCTGAGCAGCATGTCTTTCCCCCCTCACTTGCCTTCCTTTCTAGGGAGAGAAAGGGCTTCAGGATGATTAATGAAATTTTTGGATAGCCTGTTCCCAACTGGTTGTGCCTGCCACCCCCTCCCTTTCCCCCCTT